ACCGGTGTATCATTATCCATAAAATATTGAGGGTAGTTACTCTTGCTGGAACTGTTTCTAATCAATTTATTTAATATATTCCAAGTACCTCTCATGTTATTTTTATTATCCTCTAATACTTTAGAGTAATATAGTTTCTTACATCTCCTCAAAATCTCAATTAATTTGTTCTTATATGACTTATATTTTTCTTCCGCCTTCTTTGATCTGTACTTTATGAATTCCTTATATAACACATTCTTCTTTTTACATGCATTCTGTAATCCCTTACTCATCCACGGTTTCCCACTGTAATTCCTCTTGTTTTTATACTGCTTACGAGGACAGTTCCTGTCATATACTTTCATGAATATATTTAAAAATTGCTCATATGCTTTGTCTAAGTCTTCCTCTGATTCCCAGTCTTGCCCCATAAAGTCCTCTTTTAGCCTCCTTACAGCATGTTCGTTCATCACCCTCCTATAAAAAAGATTTGTTTTTGGACTTTCATTTCTAACATGGCAGTCATAAACCAAAAATACAGGTAAATGATCACTAATATCATTTATAAGTAATCCACTAGACATTTTGCTATCAATATCATTAGTAAATATATTATCTATTAGTGTTGCATGCTGGGTATTAGCATGCAATATTAGCAGGTACACTTTTATTAGGCACTTGCAGAGAGGTCTGTGTCCAGCTGTGAGGGTCCAAAATGGATCATGTAGTTATCACACAACCATGATGACAACAGATAGCTCTCAAAACAAAGCTGCACTTTGATGGTTCCAAAAGAAAAAGAGGGAGACCAAAGTGGAGGGCTGAGCCGTGCACCGCAACGTCATGGATAATTGGATGTTCTAACTAGCAGGAATTGAAAGCATTAAGCACTGGGGTATGTGAAGGAGCCACAACACCTACACAAAATATATGGGTGATATTTTGGGTATGCTGAGACACAGTGAAAAGATTAGAGCTGGTAGCTATTGTAGAATGTACAGTCATGGTCTGGCAATTGATTGGAGACTCTTAGTGTTATGACACTGACACCTGCCCATCTGGTTCTGGTTTTTTCTATTATCCTCTTGACAGTTTATTCTTTGCATTATGGTGGAGTCACCACATCCTGTTTACTTATCGATAACTCTCTTCACTATGGTTTCATGTTGGTGCAGGTGGGTAACTGGTGTTACATGAGCGCCATTAAGTCCTAGCTATTTAACCAGCCTTGGGGTTTCAGCCAAGCTTCCTTCAGTTTGTTGTTTTATTGTATAGGCTTGCGCCAAAACTATCATGGTTTGGTGACATTTTAAGTTTCAATAGTAGGGTGAGCTTTTACTCAAGCTCCAGCTGTGTTGCAACAATGAGCTTCATAAAGGTGAAACAATAAGCAGGTGTCATTGTGTAAGGAAAAACTTGACCAGAACTGACTGATGCTGTTGAGTCAGCAGAGCATAATCCTTGGGGAATATTTCCAAAATCTGCTGAATCCACATTACAAAGAATTCAGGCTGTTGTTGCCAAACAAAAAGGCTTCTGGCCAGCCTCCTGATACCAAGTGACACCAGTTTATCAATAAAACTTCATTTGTGTAGCACCTTCCA